CCCCCCCCCCCCCGGGTTGCAGATCTGGGAGGAGCCAGGCAGGGTTATTTTGCCCCAAGTGCCATAATTTGCTCCACAACAAAATGCATGTCTGGGCACTTGCACTGAGGCAAAAAGCCCCAGCTCAAATTTGCACTGCTTCTATTTGAGCTGCTACAAGCACATGTGCTTGCATGTGTGCACACACCCTTATTCTCTATCTTGTATCACAACTGACATACCGCCTGTGTAGTCTCAGTATTTATCAATGGTGGAAACACATTTTCCTTATTAGAGAAAGACACAACTGTTTCTGCACAAGTTGTTTGCAGTCTGTGCTTCCAAAAGTTCAGAGTTCATGGACACACAATCCTTGATAGCCCCAAATTTATTCCACCCTTTCACACTCCTTCACTTTACCTGGTACAATTACATGAGTTACAGTACCAAATGCCCCCAGCATCAGATCTTTGTTTCATAGTTTTTCCCCTTCCCTGTAATCTCTATCACCTATGTTTTAGGAAAGAATGCTTGATCAGATTTTACTATTTTTTTTTCCACATTTTATTACCTGTCTTGTTTTCCTTGTCCTTGCTTTGTTCATGAGTATGCACCGTTTATGAGTAGTTGCATACACAGTAGTGTCCCTGATCAGCTTTTTGGTGATGCTGACTACACAGTAGCTAGCTTGTTACTACTGCACAGTAGCATCACATCATTCTTCATGCCACGCAACGCTACTGCACAGTAGTAACAAGCTACTGCAGTAATAAGCTACTGCGCAGTCAGCATCTCGTTTAGACACGGCTGATGTGAACTTCCTCCTGTACCAAAAGTTACAGAATGTTTTCATTCAAGATATTTCATAGCCTTGTTTTTCTGTGTGGTCATATTTGTTTTAATTAAAGTTTTGAGAGTGAAGGGGTCAGGATATTTTTCACCATCTGGCACTTGTAGCTGATATGATTGTTCTTGCTCAGGAATCAGGTTGACATGAGTCCACCTGCTAATTATATAAGGGATTTTTTTTATTAATACCTTGAATACTCTTACCAATTTGGGAGGGGGATTTTCATATCCATTTTCTTTTCTTCTGGATTGTGTAACAGATCAACATGTACCTAGAACTTTTTAGATAACAGTGACTTCTTTGCCTGTTCAAGTACCCAGTTACATATCACATTTTAAATTCAAGTAGACAGTGATATCCTAAAAGGGGCATAACTCAAATAGTTAAAGCAGGGGTGTCAAAGAAGCAGCCCACGGAGCTCTATCATCTGACCCCTGGTACTGCCTGAGGGTCTTGAAAGGACCCACATGCAGCACGTAGCATGTGCTTGATGGCCTTGTGAGCCACATACAATACCTGCTCTGGGACCACACTGCATACAACATGCACTCCAATACACATCTGCTCCACACCAGATCCAGCATGCATCCTGGAGTGACCAGACCAAGCCTTATGACTGCCATGTACAGCACAGTCCCAGACCTGCTGCTTTGGGGCACGAGCTGGATTTGCCATGGAGTGGACAGGAATTGGAGCAGGCACTGCACGCAGGACAGTCCTGGAGCAGCCAGAGAGGGCACTGTGTTCAGTGTGGTCCTAGAGTGGCTGGGCCAGGACCATGCCGCATGCAGCACCTGCTCCAGCTGCTCTGGGGCCATGCTGCATGTGGTACCTGCTCTGGCCATTCCTTGACATGCACTGGATCCATCACTGAGTGGATGCGGGTGCCACATGCAGCATGGTTCCCAAACAGTTAGTTCAGGACACACACTGCATGCGGCACCTACTCCAACCACTCCAGGACATCCTCTGGATGTGGTATGCAGGTCTGGCTTGTGGTCCCTATTTGCTCTGCAGACTGGCCCCATGGGGCCAGGTGAGTTTGACACCCCTGGATTAAAAGATATCCTCCATTTTTTGTCATGACTTAGGAGACCAAGCTAGTACAAGCAGATGTTATTTCTACCTTTATATGCTGTGCCAACGCTAAATCTGGAGCCTTGAGTAATAGAGTCCTCAGGAGAATGTATTCTGACACCACTAACTGGGGTGGTTTATTGAGTAAGCACAAATGAATGTGGTTACTCTTTTGTGCTCTTCCATACCATGCCTTGCAATCAAGATAAGGAAATAATTTGTCACCAACGTTTTATCTTCTGAGGTAGATGATTGATGGCTGTTTTCCTCAAGGCTACAGTGAGAAAGCAAATCCAGGTTTTCTAGTATATTTATGTGGAATGGCCTTCTTCCTTCTCAAGTGAAAAATGAATAAGAGCAGGAATTAACTGAGAAAAGAATTAGGCCCCTAATTTTAAATGGTGATTTTTGGCTGTGAGTAGTAGCCAGTTTAGGCATCAATCAGCTCCTGAACATTAATGCTGAGAGAAGAATGAATGAATGGGTAACCAATCCCCTGCCATAGGCAAGGGGAAGTTTATTCTGGTGAGGTGCCACTCTTATAATAATGATGAAAATAGGAGGTGTGCTAACAGAATAATTTCCCTCACCCATCTTCTTTCTATTACAGACCCTTTCAAACATGCTGGAAAATCCTATCACTAACATTTAAACAGATCCAGGGTTTCCTTCAGATTCTTCTTTCTGTAGTCATTCTTCTCCACACCCCCCATGAGTCTCTCCCTCAAGCTGAGAGCACCACAGTACTGTTAAAAGCGTATGCTTTTGATCTCTGTGCAAATAAATGAGCTGAAACAAATAAAACTCAGTTCACAAGAGATTTCCAAGACATCTGGTGGAGTTATTTTTCTGAGTAATTAGACCAAGTGGTGGTGCAATTCCCAAATGAAAACTACCTTCTTGCTTGATATCCAGTTATTTTTCATAGCCGTCAAGATGGCAATAAGTCCCACTTCTCTCCCCTGCACGTGACTCAAACTCTATTGATTACCAGTCTTTCTAAACTGGAACAATCAGACCTTCAAGACAGGCTTGTTTGCAGCTCAAGTCTCTTTATTTTTCTTACACTTTGAGGGCCCTATTCATCTTCTGTGGAAGTTAGCACATTCTGGCATTGATTAGAGTAAGACTTGGCTCTTATCCTCTTTCTTTTTCTTCCTAGTAACTTACTGTAGGTCTCCTCAATATGACCTCTATGAAGCAGGCAGCAGAGTATAAAGGAATAGGAGTCAGTTCTTGCTCTGAAGTCAATACAGTGTTCCTGACTGAAGGAATATTATGTCCAGGACTAAAACTATCCAAAAGCTCATCAGAACTTAGCACTGATAATTTGTTCCCACAGCATTATTACTATGATTACATTGAAAGTAGCTTGGAATACATGGCAGGAAAGAACCAAGTAGGAAACAGATGTGGATGAAAAGCAGGATTTCACAGGAAATTTTTCTCTTTTAAAACTGTTTTGCTCCAAATTGACATTCTTGTCAGTTTCATCACAAATGCCATTGAATGTCAAATTCCACTGAGCAGCAGCAGGGGACTGCCTGCGTCTCTGGCCTGGGAAACACTGATTAAGAATTCAACCTTGCCTTAGATTCAGTGAAAATTCATTAGACCTGAGATGTCTTAAGCAAAACATAGGGCACAGACAGAAGTTACATTTGTTGCATGATTGGTCCCCTTAAAGCACTCTATAGCTGTGCCATGACACATGTACATGGTTGTAGAGTGCTTTAAAAGCAGCCAATCACGCAAGAATTAACCTTGTTTAAATGAGGGATCAGATGAAAGTGCTCCACTCTGGAGTGCCTTAGGGCAGCGTTTCTCAACCTGTAGGTCGCAACTCAAAAGTGCGTTGCAAGTATATTTCTAAGAGTTGTGAGCCTGTGCCACAGAAACGCATGAAAGCATGGGCTTCCCCTTGCAGACTGGCAGCATTCTAGCCTGTAAGGGGAAACCCACATTTCTGCAGTGTTCCAGCCTGCAAGCGGCTGCTGGGAGTTTGGCCAGCACACAGCCAGGCAGGGCTGTGGGAGCAGCCCCAGCAGCCGGATGAAGGTAAGTGTATGAGGAGCAGGGGGGTTAGAGGGCCAGGGCTTGGAGACTGTGGGGATGGGGGAGGGTGCATGTGTGCATGAGTCATGCATATGTGTGTGGCGGGGGGAGAGGGAAGGCAAGTGCCTGCCAGCATTGGGGGCAAAGTGGTAGGGCACCTAGGCTGCAGCAGGACAGGGGGCAGCAGGACTGTGGGTCGTGCAGCAGCACGGCCAGGGGGTTGTGGGTTGGGACAAGCCACTGATCTTGGCAAATGGGCCCCAGCAGGAAAAATGTTGAGAACCACTGTCCTAGGCAATTTCTGTTCCCTGGGATTAATTGGTCGTGCAATCAGTGCTGTCTGCAGGAAAGGACAGGGGAGAGAGGAAGAGGACCAAGCTACAGGCTAGGGTTTTCCCAGCTTGAGCTAGGTGAGGGGTGAAGAAGGTGGGGACTGGAGCCTCCCCCACCTCATGCCCCCCCCCGCTCTTACCCTCTAGCTCAGGTGAGGCAAACCATAGCCTACAGCTTGCTCCGCTCCCCTCCCCTCCCCTCCCTTCGTGCAGACAGCACCAGAGCTGGGTGGGGTGGGGCTGGGTTCCTTGGATGTAGCCAGGCTTTATCTTCCTCCCCCCAACTACCCCCTCAACCCAACAGGTGAATGTGTGCTGGGTTGGGGGTGGGGAGGGAGGTGTACTCTAACTCATGGCTAGATAGACACCTTGCCGGGGTTGTTTGACCCCAGTATCCTTTCCTGCCCATGGCAGGGGGTCGGAATTGATGATCTGCTCAGGTCTCCTCCAACCCTACCAACCAACTACGATTCAATACTTAAAGCACCATTAGTTAGAGCAGGGGCCTGCACATCTGTCAGAGCCCATATTGGCAAAAGAGAAAACGGCAGCTGCAACAAAAACAACAAAATCTCACCAGAAGTTTCATCTACTCTCTCATCCACCACATGGTCCTTCTGATGAACCCATTCACTATTGCACTTGAAATAGATCTGGGTGGCAGGGCTGGCCTTGCAATACAGATTCACAGGCTTGTTCTTTACAATGTAGGCTTCTTCAGGTTCAATAAGAAAATGGGGTAAAGGCTCTGGAGGATCAGATGGAAAGGTTTCTGGAAGTTCATGGAAAAAGTCATCATCTGTAACACAGAAACATAAGGGGGAAAGAAAAAGGTCAGCAAATCACAGCAACTGAAATTCTGGTTGTCAGAGACTGGGTGTTTCTACAAAGCTCAAGAAAGAAGGTGAGTTTTTTTTCAAATGAAAAGTTATAACAGAAACATCATTGGTTTGGAGCTTAAATGCGTAGTTGTTTTCAATTTAGAAGGTGTTTCAAGCCTTAAACAAGTATTTATACTTACTCATGTGCAAGGTATAAGTTTATAAATGATTTCTTATCAGTAGCAAGCATAATGATAAAAAACAATATTAATGCATGGAGGTGTCACTTTTTGAATCTCAGTATAAAATTGTTACATTTGAGACTTCAAGGTTAAAATTTTCAAAGGACAAACTGCAAGATCTTTCCTATACAGTTCTGCAGCTAAATCAAGTTTATGCACATAGCTTAAAAAGCTACTTGGTGGATATAGAGCCTTTTATCTCTGTCATCAGTTTGAGACTGACTCAGATTAATTAAGTCTCCTGTCCACACCTCTTCCATTCAGCTTTTCATTTCTCTGGGAATTTTAACAAGGATGCCAATACTCTCTCATATCCAAAAGCAGACATACACATGGTGCTCAAAAAGTGAGTGAATTGATACCACAAATGCATTTCACAGATCACACAATACCTATGAAATGTCAAACACTTCCGGTGAATACTTTTATGGATTAAGAAAAGAGGTTTAGTTTTTCTCCAGTCCTGTCAAAACTTTTTACCCGGCCTAAATTCACTAAAACATCTTTATTAAAACAAAACATAAAATAAAACAGGAAAAAACATTCCAGTTAACTGGTAGCTTCCTCCATAAAGCCCCTTTTGATGGGCTTCATTCCTCTTCCCCTTTTACAGTAGAAATCAAGACTGGAAAGTGCCAGTTCCCAGGAGAACAGTCTTCTTCCCATCAACTGTGACTACTCTTGTCCACATGCAGGACTATTCAAGATGCTCACAGTGACAAAAGAATGAGGGAGCAGTGACTATTGACAAATCCATCCGCAAGAAGCTGACAGTCCTGAAGGCCTTATTCAACCTCCTCTTTTCTGCTTCTGAAGCAGTTATCATTATACACAGTGACGGACGTTGGTGATGATCAATAAAGAACCATGGAATATCAAACTAAAAATACTGCAGAAGGCTAGCTATCTTCTCTTTGTCAGTCTTCATGAAGATTAAATGTCAGACAGCTCCCCTCCTATACTCTAGGTATACCTATATTTTCTATGTCCAGAATTACAAAGGGTTTAAAAGCCTTTCCTTCTAGCCGCTGCTGTCACAGAAAGAGAAGAAAAAACAATGAAAGATGAAAGAAACTGGAGAAACGGATAATGTGGTACCTATCTACATAGCCATATAGAGTTGCACTATATATCTTTATTAGGGATGAGAACACTTGTCAGAATGCAAGGTTCTGGGAACCTCTTGAACTTTTTATGAACATCACAAACATAGCATGAGTTTGCAAAACTTTTTTTCTTAATTCTAAATCCATTTTTTCCCTCTAACAATGTTTCAGTTTAAAAACAAAAATGTCTCTGATTCACCACTGCATTACTCCATTACTGTTAATGTAGTTGGACATACATAACAGTGGTATAATGCCCTAGTGTTTTTCTAGCAAAAGGAAAGGCTGATATTTAAAAACAAGGACAGAAGAACTCCATTCCCTTCCTGAACCAACCAGCAAAAACAAATATTCTGGACACAGTATGAAAACCAGATTTAGTTTTCATTAGACTTTTTTTCATCTTTCATCTTCCATTTTTCTTGGTTCTTCTGTTTTTGTTTTCACTGTAATCACCTTGTACTTAATTTTTAATGCTCTTTCCATCCACATCAGATTTTCTTCTGTTCCCCTTTTTCCCCAAGGTGCGATGTGAAACTTTGAGTCAAAGTTTGGAATTCACAATGACCAAGAGTAGTTTGTCTACCCCCAATATTCATCTACCCATAATACACAAGCCCTGTCTCCATATATATATAATGTGTGTTAGAGATGAATCATTTCCCCAGAATTGCCATAGGATATATCTTTTTCTTCTGGTCATTTAATTGTAAATCAGCAAGCAGACAGATGGAAACTAACAACACACATGTTTCATAATTAAACAAGTATTGCTGCACTAATTTCTGGTGACTGGAAGAACAAATGTATTTATTTTCACTGATGCATCTCAGAACATTATTGAAAACAATGTTTATACTGTTTGAACAATTAGCTAAATCTTATCAAAGATATAACTCCAAAAGACAGGGGAGTCAGAAAACTTGGGTGGAGGAAAAAATATTTCCTTCATTATTGCCTAAAGTCTGATTGATCAGTCTCAAGAACATGTTTTGGATTCTCTACTGAGTGTAAACAATTATAATGTATGAGTATTATCTTTATTTTCAAGCGCATTTTGTAATACAGTGGGTTTTTTTTACAAGCACAGCCTCTATCTTTGATCCTTTGAAAATGGGGAAGGGCTTGCTATGCATCCATTTAGAAGCCTTACATGCTGCAGTTTTCTTATTTAGCCATATTAAATGATAGAATTCCTTTCTACTGTTATATGTTAAAGAAAGGTGCATCAAATCCAATTTTATTGTCTCGTTGTGCTTCCTGCATTTTATACATAAGCAGATAAAGGATTCCTATAGCAGCTCCAGTATATACTGAGATACTGGCTTTTTTCTAAAATATCTGTATCTTTAGGGGAAAAAAAGAAAAGACAGATATGAGCTGGCTTTCTATATAAGAACATCTTTATTCACTTCCTGGTCTCAATGTTTTGTTATTATCATCATCATCGAGTAAGTTAATATTCTAGGGAACAAAAACTTAAGAGGAACATCTACAATACAAGCATGATTGGATTCTCCTATATTTGACGAAGGTAAATAATGATATTGCAAAACCAGCCTCATCTCCATCAACATTCAGGTCTCTAATCCATGCATCTGCTACACACTGCTAAAAAGTAATAGGTAGCCTTATCAGGCTGTCTGAATCAGAGCTGGAATTCAGTTAATGCTTCCTGGGTTCCAACAGTGATTAGATCTGGTGCTGCATGAAAACAAACCATTGTTCCACTCTTTCCCAGACAGACAAATTAAGACAAGCCCTACATAGATACATGGGAAAAACTACTCAGGTTACAACATGGCAGTCCATAACACAGTTAAAGCACAGTCTGGTTTTGCAGGATATTGTGGACCAAATTTCCAAGATACTGCAGAATCATGCCACAGCTCCCCTAAAATCCTAGAGATTTGGCAGCTCTGTTCCCAGAACAGCAATGGCGTAAAGGGCAGGACCGGCTGTTGTGTTATTGGTGGTGGCAAAGAGCCAAATGCCAGCTGAAATGGTGCTATTTTTGTGTACACTTCAGCCCCAAAGGTGGTGCCCAAGGCTGCTGCTTTTGTTGCTTCCCCTCAACTATGCTACTGTTTTGACACCACTTTATGTTGGGATCTGATGCAAACTTGGAAAAGTAATTATCTGGTTCACAAAATCTGTAAGTTTGAGCCATCACAAGTTGACACTTAAGAGTAGCTCTACTCACTCTCCAAGCTATGGCTGGCAGTTGTACCGGGCTCCTAGCAAGTGAACAGACATTCACTTTTGATTCTAGAAATGCAGCCACATGCCTGCAGTGGAACAGACCAGAAGCTGGAGGATGCTAAAGCATGTTTCCCTGCTCAGCTACAGTAGATAGCTTGAGCCAAGGTTAGCCTGCCCACTCTGCAAGGGGAGGTTTGCAGTGGAGGTGCAAAGCATCCTGGGATGCTCAGGGACTGTGAGTTCATTTTAATCTGGAGAGGATCTGGGACAGATCAACGGATTTAACTTAAATAAGTTAATTCTGATACTACAACCATCCAGGTTTATCTTAAAGTGGTTTCAGTCTTTTTGGAAGTGGTTTATGTGCAATGAACTTCTGTTGTGTCACAGATTTGAACCAGTTTCTGATCACTCATACTGGTTTCTGTGTAATTTTTGTTCCTAGCCTTAAGGTTAGGAAGGAAGGAGGAGAAAAGGAGCTCAAAGCAGGAGGAGACAAACTCCTTTGAGGCAGATGCAATGTGGACCCAAATAAAAGTCTGATGAGGCTGCATCTGTGGAAAAATAGGAATATTCAAAAAGAAAATTAAAACAAAAAATTTAAAATATGTATTTTGGTAAAAGTTTCATTTCCATTTTGAGTGTTTTTCATTCACCTATAAAAATAAAGATTCAAAGCAAAAAAGTTACCTCAAAGGAGGTAATTTTGGCAAAATAGACACAATTTTCTGAAATATTTTCACACTGATGGAATTGTTTTCTTTAATTTGAATTTTTCTGAAAGAAAGTTGTTTCCAACACAGTTTTTATGAATAGGCCTAGTCAGAACACAGTTCACCCCTAAATCTACAATAAGACAAAACTGTTTTAATCATCTTGGAGACTACTTTGTCTCCAGGTCTTCCGATATGGTTGTTGCTATCATTGAATATTCTATAAAACACTGTGTGCATCTCTGAGGGTGCACACAGACACTGGGGAGGTTAGATTACATTCAAAATAGCCAGTTGATCTAACTTACTTCACACCTTACATTAGTTAAGTTAATCTAAGTGCAAACTGTACAGAAATTTAGGCCAGTTAGAATGGTCTAAAAATGGCTGACTCAATCTAAGTTAACCCTACCTATGAGATACACCTAACTTAGGTCAGGTCGGCCAATTTTTAGACTGATCTAACTGTCCTGAACTTCTGCACAGTTCCCAGTGCAATCCCAGGGTGGGGAAACCCAACTGCTGGCTCCAGCTCCAAGGCTGTGCTTTCCTTACCCTCTCCCTGGCACACAGCTAGTTTTAGCCCCTCACCAGAAGATGGACCATCCTTCCCAACAACTGGCAATACATTAGGGGTGTATGCGGGTGCATGTGCACTCCCTGAGATTAGTGGTGCAGCCCCTGAGAAAAGTGCTGCCAATGCCTATGGGCAGTT